ATTTTTATTAATAATTTTTTCTTCTTTTAAAAGATAAATATACATCTCAACAACCTGCAAGCAAGTTTGATAATGCTAGTTTGATTTAAATGAATGCAACTGAGAGATATAATTGTTGTCACCAACCAAATGCTAATGATCACTACTAGCAAACAATATTATTTTTTAACAACAATCATCTGTACCTAACTGGTTTTTCCTTACCTTCGGCTAATTTTGTTTATGCAGGCCACCCATATATCTCTACATATCGCGGAAGTGCCGGATATGTGCCCCGTTATGTAATTTGTAAGTACCTCTAATCAACATCTTATTCAATAAATTTTACCAATCAAACTTGTAAAATATTAAGTGAAAAAATATCTTAAAATTATATTATTTTAATATATTTTATTAAAATAAACTAAAACATCTTAATTTTTAAAGCAAGGCTTTTTTTTAAACTTTTTTATATTACTTTTAAAATGTTGTAGTTTTGTTTTTTTTTTTTAAAGCACTAATCTTTATATTATATATGAAGCAAGCATAAAATTTGATTAGAAGAATATATGCAATTCGGATATATAATTGACTTAACAACAATCATCCCTACATAATTGGTTTTTCCTTTTATTAAATTTCTTCCATTACAATAAGTTAACATCATTTCTTTTCAAAATTTAGGATTGATAGAACAACCAGTCCTTTGTATTCTTGAAAAAGTTCAAAGTTACCATTTATTCAGCTCCCAAAATATGCAATTGTCCCTGAAATGTTTTTCATCTCCTCGATTAAGTCCTTCCATTAAATCTCAATTACTCGAAGTTAATGCAAGAATTATTAAGTCATTGTTGGAATTAACAGTACACAATAAGTGCCTCTCAATAACCGATTACAAAGCATGAATATTATGATTGCCTATTTGTTATTGATGATTGATTATTAACAAATGGTTTACACTTTTTTGTAATTAAATTGTATGAAAAATATAAATGTTAACTTTCATTTATTTAGTTAGTAAATTAAAATTTTACATGTGCTAATTATATTAAAATAAAAATCAATTATTATATTTTTAATGTAAATTAATTACAAAAACATATATTTATTATTCTCTTAATCTGTGGGGCAGGCAAAGATTAAATAAATCCATTACCAAAAGGACAAAAATGAATTACAAAGGAAAAAAAAAACCAAAAAAAAAAAAAACAGTAAAGGACTAATGCTTACTTTTTGATAACAATCCTTCTTCCAAAGGCTCTCTAATTGTCTTAAAGGTTGAATATAAGCATTCTAAGATACAAATGTTAAGAAACAGAGCACACAATACAATATATAAATCTTTTAAGATTAATATTTATTAACTAGATTTATAAAAAAAATTAAGTAAAAAGAATT